GCAAAGATAGCCACTTTAGATATGGACTTCATTCCAAACCTTTTTTTTTTTTAAAAAACCGTATCTGACCACAGACCAACAAAAGATTTCTAGCTAAAAAAAAGATTGCCCACCAGTGTGATGCCATAACATTTTTGTCTCATCAATTCCTTCAAAGAATTCACTTCAGATGGAAAGACAGTAGCTGCTTTTAAGCTCCAAGCTAATAATTTAACGTAACGTGTTTCACCGAATATATGTAAAGCGTTTCCTAAGGATGTCAAGACCACATGTAGCAAATGTGATTGTTGGCACATTCCACATAAACACTTAGTACCCAAACTGTTAAATAGATGAACTCATTTTCAAAACAGCAGAGTGGCTCAGGGGTTAGCACTGCTGCTTCACAGCACCAGGGACCCAGGTTTGATTCCACCCTCGGGAGAGTGTCTGTGTGGAGTTTGCACATTCTCCCAACGTCTGCATGGGTTTCCTCTGGATGCTCCAGTTTCCTCCCACAGTCCAAAGATGTGCGTTATAGGGGAATGGGTCTGGGTGGGATGCTCCAAAAAGGTCAGTGTGGACTTATTGGGCCGAAGGTCCTGTTTCCATGCTGTAGGGATTCTAAGATCCCTAGTTTTTTTGTTATTCATTTGTGGGATGCAGGCGTCACCATCTATGCCAGCAATTTTTGTCCATCCCTAGTTGCCCCTTGAGAAGGTGGTGGGGAGCTGCCTTCTTGAACCGCTGCAGTCCATCAGCTGTGGGTTAACCCGCAAATGCAATTAGGGAGGGAATTCCAGGATTTTGACCCAGCGACAGTGAGGGAACAGTGTTATATTTATATTTCCAAGTCAGGATGGTGAGTGGCTTGGGGGAGAACATGGCAGTGGTGGTGTTCCATCTAGAAGGACAAGGACAGCAGACATATGGGAAGTGGTTGTGGGTTTGCAAGGTGCTGTCTGAGGATCTTTGGTGAACTTCTGCAGTGCATCTTGTAGATAGTACACACTGCTGCGACTGAGCGTTGGTGGTGGAGGGAGTGAATGTCGAGCCAGTCAAGCCGGCTGCTTTGTCCTGGATAGTGTCAAGCTTCTTGAGTGTTGTTGGGGCTGCACTCATCCAGGCAAGTGGGGAGTATTCCATCACACTCGACTGGTGTTTTGTAGATGGTGGACAAGCTTTGAAGAGTCAGGAGGGGAGTTACTTGCTGCAGTATTCCTAGCTTCTGGCCTGCTCTTGTAGCCAGTGTTAGTGTGGGGAGTCTAATGGAGTTTCTGGTCAATGGTTATCCACAGAATGTGGATAGTGGGGGACTCAGTGATGGTAACACCATCAAATGTCAAGGGACAATGGTTAGATTGACTCTTATTGGTGATGGTCATAGCCTGGCATTTGTGTGGCATGAATGTCACTTGCCACCCGTCAGCCCAAGCCTGGATATTGTCCAGATCGTGTTGAATTTGGACATGGACTGCTTCAGTATCTGAAGAGTCACGAATTGTGCAATGTTCAGCACCATCAGTGAACATCCCCACTTCTGACCTTATGATGGAGGGAAAGTCATTGATAAAGCACCTGAAGATGGTTGGGCCGAGGACACTACGCTGAGGAACTCCTGCAGGAATGTCCTGGAGCTGGGATGACTGACCTCCAACAACCACAACAGTCATTGTGGGTCAGGAATGACGCCAACCATCAGAAATTTTGCCCCTTGATACCCATTGATTCCACTCCGTGCACTCAGATCTAATCCTGACTTTGTCATTAAGCCTGCTGATAAAGGGTGGTGCTGTTGTAGTCTGGCATACTGACCTCTACCTTGCAGAGGCTGAGCACCAACTCTGATACCTCCTCCTACCTTCCCCTGGACCACAACCCCACCATGACACAGCAGGCCATTGTATCTACCACAGTAACTGATCTCATTTCATCTGGTGATCTCCACCCCCTCTGCTTCCAAGCTCAGCCCTGCACAGCTCGCAAAATTCCACAAACAGGAAAGTCCGGGCAGACCCATTGTTTCAGCCTGCTCCAGCCCCACAGAACTCATCTCTTCGTACCCTGACTCAGTCTTCTCTCCCCTGGTCCAATGCCTACCCACATACGTCCATGATTCCTCTGACGCCTTACGCCAGTTTCAAAACTTCTAGTTTGCCGGTTCCAGCCACCTCCTTGTTACCATAGACGAGCACCCGGAGGAGACCCACGCAGACACAGGGAGAACGTGAAAACTCCACGCAGACAGTCACCCAAGGATGGAATCGAACCTGGGTCCCTGGTGCTGAGGCAGCAGTGCTAACCACTGAGCCACCATGCCGCCCTGAGGAAGGCTTTGCACGGTCAACAGGGCTGTTTCTGCCGTTGTCTATTCTGGTGCCTAGGTTAATGCCAGGTGATCCATCCAGTTTCATTTCTTTGAAATTTTGTAGCGATTGGTACAAGTGAGTGGCTTGCTAGGCCATTTACAGAGGTCAATTGAGAGTCAACCACATTGCTGTGGGTCTGGAGTCACATGTAGGCCAGAACAGGTGAGGATGGCAGATTTCCTTCCCTGAAGGACTTTAGTGAGCCAGATGGGTCTTTCCCCTAACAATCTGCATTTTTAAAAAAATTATTGATTCAAATTCCACCATCTGACATGGTAATATTTGAACCCGGGTCCTCAGAACATGAGCTGGGTTTCTGGATTAATAGTCTAGCGATAATACCACAAGGCTATCACCTACCCCAAGTTCTAAATTTCTCCCACAAGAGGGAACATCTTCTCCATTTTACCCTGTCAAGGCCTCTCAAGATCTTATACGTTCCAATTAAGTCACCTCTTACTCCGAATCCTAGCCAATGCTAACCTTGCCTTTCCAAACTCTCCTTGTAAGGCAGCCCACTTATTCCGAGTATTAGTTTGGGAAGCCTTCCTTGAACTGCTTCCAACGTATGTACATCTACATTATAAAAAGGACACCAATGCTGCACAAAATACTTCATATGTACTGAAAACAAAAAAAAAGCTGGGAATCAAAACAGGTCAGGCAGCATCCATGGAGAGACAGAGCGCAAGCTGACCTTTTCCAGTCTAGATGCCTCGAAACATTATCCTGCTCCCCCTCTCCACAGAGCTGCCTGGCCTGCTGTGATCTCCAGCTTTTTTGTTTTCAGTACAGATTCCACCATCTGAAGTAATTTGCTCCTACTTCATATGCCCTGCATAAATGAAGCATAACCTCCCTACTCTAGATGTGGAGCTGTGCTCATAACGAAACAAACACTATTAGCTTTCCTGATTCCCTGTTGTAACTTGTATCATGCACTCAGTTCTTTTACCCTGACGCACTTAGTATGCTGCAATCTGCCTGTAAAGCAGAGTACAGGTGACAGTAATAACCATGCACTAGGAGGTTCAGAACCCTTTGCATCTCAAGAGTTCATTCTGGAGAAACAAAAAAAAAAGTTACATTTACCTGGTAGGAGGAATGGGGCCGAGAGAGCGAGAGAGCGAGAGAGCGAGAGAGCGAGAGAGCGAGAGA